CGAAGAAAAAGTTAAAGCTTTCGGCTCACAGGTCCTATTGCAAGAAACATCTAGTAAATTTTTTGGCGCAGAGACACGCGAAGCGTCCGGTGTATCTCTGGGGAAAAATGGGCTGCAGCACGCGGCATGTCGTAAGGAATCCATAGAAAAATCTCTCACTTTCCAGTACCTTCAAGGGGGTTGACAACAAACAACGCGGTGCGACAACATGCCCGCACGCGACACGCAACGCGGCCGTGAGAGCTTGCCCTTTGCGCGGCACGCAACGCGGTAGCGACCTGCTAACCGCACCGCCGTGATGAGCAACGGGCAACACGTCGCGCACCGCCCTACGCAACGCGCCGCGCACATAGCGCACCACGATACGCAACGCGACAACCATCCAGCGGCGCGCAAGTTGCCGCGATGCACACACGCACAAAACGGCAGTGTCGCCCAACCGACTAGCCGCATTGTGCGGCAAAAGTCGAGCCGCAACGCGGCACGAGGGACAACGCGTCCCAAGCAGCAAACTCGGAACGCGCAGGCGCACGCGGAGCGTACCCCTGCTTTGCTTGTCCCCTTATAGTTAGGAATGAAAAAAATTACCCTGGCCTGGCGGTAGAGGGCATGGTTGCGCAGATCGCTAAGCAAATTAGTGGGTAGTGGAGACCGTGGGGGAGCTTCCTCGGGCACTGGCGGAGGAGCATGGGGCGGGTATTCCTGAATTATAGTTATCAAATGGGTCTAGAAAATTCATAGAAGTCAGAAAAAATCACGGTAAAGTTTAATAGATACCTATCGTTAAAAATTCAGGTAAAGACGACGATTAGGAAGATTTTTACTGAATGGTTTGCTACAATAACTTTTTCCAGCATCAACAACAATACAGGTTTGAAAATTAAGATACCTCACTGTCATCCGAATTCCCGCGGTAGACAATGTGACCGGTGGAATCCTCATGGACAATCTCCTCCGAGATTTCATGGTGAGCTGGCGGGGCGACGGCATGGACGTGGATCGGTGCGGCTAAATTTGGGAATTTCGGTTTAAAGGGACCGGCAAGGCTGCTGGTTTAAGCAATATTTACGCAATCTAGATCTCGACAATCCCGCGCTCGCCGATTTCTGCGCTTCTGGCGCTTTTAAAGGCGCTAGAAAGTCGCGAATCTGAAGCGCAAAACCTTGGCAAAAAGCCGCGGACGATCATTTTTCGAACGGTCACATTTTCCACTTTTCAATTCAAGATTCAAGAAAAAATATAAACTTTTCCAAAATCCATGGGAGCCACTTGACTTCGCAATCCCTTTAAATCCGCCCAAACCCACCATGCTCCTCATCCTTGAGCGTCGACTCGCTCTCATCGGAAGCGACACTGTGGTACGAGTTGTGCGAGTGGGTCGAGTGATGCGAGTGGATGGACTGGGCGGTGGCAGAAGATTTTCGGCTGGATACGGCGGATGGGGCACGGGACTGAGGGGCTGATGGAGGTTGAGGTTGCGGGATGGGGTGGCTGTTGGCTGAGGCCGGCCAATCCGGCTTTGATCCGATTCCGCCCATCGTCAGGGTTGTGCGCTGGAAGGTGGAAGGTTTTATGAGAATTATCGAGAGAGAAAGAGGCGGAGAGAGAAACAGTGAGAGAGAAACCGAGCGATCGAGAGAGAGGGAGAGAGAGAGAGAGAGAGAGAGAGATAGAGAGATGGAGGTAGATGTGTAGAGAATGAGCGACTGGGTTATGAGAGAGACAGAGGGAGAGAGACAGAAGGAAGACAGAGCGAGCGAGAGAACGGTATAGACAGAGAGACACAGAGAAGGAGAGAGAGGGAGAGCGAGAGAGAGAGCTAGGGAGAGCTAGAGAGGAGGAGAGAGCGAGGGAGACAGAGAGAGAGCGAGAGAGAGAGAGAGAGAGAGAGGGAAAGCGTGGGAGAGAGAGAGAGAAAGCGATAGAGAGAACGAGTCAATCGATACCTGAGCCAAAGCGGAGTCAATCTTGGTGATCGTGCTATCCGAGGTATGGGAAGTGGCTTCAGAGGAAGCGGTTGATCGAGCACGTATCGAGCGGGGCACCGATTGCTGAGAAGCAAGCGAGTCCTGAAATTTCACCGTTAGCTTGCTCACCTCACCTTACCCGCTTGAACACGACGGCGTCGTCGGCGTGAATGTAGGCGAGCTTCTGCTCGACGTGGGCCTGCTCCTGATGGTGGGCGGAGATGACGTGCGACTCGGAGGAATGCGACTCAAAGTGGGTGGCAGTGGCGGAGAAGACCTGTAAAATTTACTTGAAAATACAACCAACAACCTTGAAACCAGAATGTATACAAAAATGCTTTTTACATGTTTATTGGCTAAAATTTACAAAGAAAAGTTTTATTTCTTGGTTCTTGATTTAAAGGTACATTTTTAATCGAAATACAAAACCATCTGGTTTTCGACGAAACACCGACGTATTTCGATCAAAATCTTTGACGCTAAGTTTTTTCCGGTTTTCTTGCTAATTTTATACTTCTAAAAAATGCCGGATTTTTATAAATTTTTAAAATATTTTTTAATGCAAATCGTCCCTCAAATCAAACATCAAAAATTTTCCATTTTAAACAAGTTTCTTCGTTTTTAGATGGCTCTCCAATAAAAGTCAGCTATAAAAACAGCATTAAAACACAGGTTCTGATATTTGCAAAGCAGGGTTCAGTTTAATTTTAAAAAATCCACCTGGCTACTCTGGACGTGCACCTCGTGGGACTCGTGATGAGACTCGACCTAAATCAAGGAAGATTGCACATAAAAGTTATCGCTACGTACCCTAGATACGGTGGAGACCGGCGGCAGCGTGACCGCGCTGAAGACGGCGTTCAGAAGGCCTAAAAATCGGGGAATATACCGAAGAGTTTTAATGTCAACGCGAAAACCCCATCCGTCACTTTTTCGAGTTCGTAAAAATGATTCACGAGGCCCGATATTGGCGCATAAAACGCACTATCATTGTCGGCGGTCATCCTGGCTGGCGAAGGGCCGCTGCGAATTGCCCAAGTACCCTAAATAGCGTAACTTTTAAAGCGGTTTTGACAGGCGAGAGATGGAAAACATAAACGTTATGAAAACCTGCACAAAATGTGATCAATTTGCTAGCTGAGATTTCGTCAATTTTGACATTTTTGGGAAATTTACAAATATTTTTTTACACCAGCATTTAAAAGATATATAAAATTCCTTCTCTTTACAGGCCAGAAAAAGTGTCTATACTTGAACTTTCGTAAGTTATAAACAGAATTTTCACATTTTCATTTTACACACAAAATGGTAAAAAGGATGCAAACTGGAATCTGTTTTTTTGAGAAGAAATTCTGCGGAAAAGCCCATCTAAAAATCGATCGATACCAAGTCCAGAGAACACCGCACAACGAACGAAACGCGCTAATCAGCGGTGCTACGGTAGCACACCGATGCAGAAAACGCGTCGGGTCGGAGGCCCCGGAATTGTGATAACGAGCAAAAAAGCTAGAAAGCTTTAGCATAACTGTTGGCAGTAGCCGAGCCGTCCAAAAAGTCCCTGGAATAGGTATGGAAATCGGAAAATCGGACATTTCTTTGGTATACAGGGTGCTCCAATAAAAAAACACTCCCCTCTCACTCGAAGCAGAAGTATCGGATCGGAATGGTAGTGATACCATCGGAAAGCCCTTCAAAAGGCGAGTTTGCAACAGTCTTCAAAACCAGGTTTTTATTTGACTGTGTCATTTTATCGCGCGCTTAACGAAATTAAGGACGGTCTTTGCATCTAATTAATGGCGATTCCGGTCGTCTTACTTTAGGAATTTGAGGCTCGTACGCTACCCCCCGAACACTCGGAAAATCTTAGAAAATGGCTTGTAGAATAGCGCATTTAAATAAAAACATAGTCTTGAAGATTGTTGCAAATTGGCCGTTTCAAGGGCTTCCGAATGGTTTAATCCAACACTTCACAAGCCAGCAGGTTTTTTCCCACGTCTTAGACAGTAAAAACTGCAAGAACTGCCAGTAAACCAACCAATTTTTCCACGGATCATAAAAAAATGAATGACATATTCGGAATCAGCACAGAAAATCGCAGCGGATCGACTGCCGGATTAACCAGAGGTCAAACTCGAGCCGGTAGGGTTTCCTTGTAATTGGGTAACTCGCGTAACCACACCCACGGAAGATTCGATGCATGGGAAGTTTTAGCCGAAAAAGCCAAGATTTAAAGTTAACGTTTCAATACCCGTTCCAAAAACACAAAAACCAATGACAGGAATCAGAAAGTGGTTTTGCGAGCTGTGGAGGCGCTTCCGATGCAACCAGCAACTCTGGCATCGCGTCGATTCCCGGAAAAAAAGAAGGACCGAAAGCGGTGATAATCAGGGAAAAGAAAGAAGAAGAAGCAGCCACACACACAGCCTCCCCTTCTGCCTTTCCTTCCATAGATAAGAAATCACCAAAAATGAGCCGCGGGCAGAGGAGTGGATCGTACAAATCACAGACGGATGGCCGGCAGGGGGGTGCATTCTATTCTGACGGCCAGATGATGACATCATGGAGAGAGGAGTGGTAACGGATCAAAATTACAAGCAATGAAAAAGATCGGAGATGTTCCACGTCGCAGACAATTTCCGTCAGAATGTTCCAGCAGCATAACAATATGGGGGAAGTTAAGAGCATGTTTAATACGTCGTTGAATGTGTCGTACAGGGCCGTAGCGATCCCCGATTTTGGGGGGCAACTCCAAAAAAAATTTTTGGCAACGTATCAAAACTATCAAAAACAGCGCCGCAGGCGAAAATTTTTGAAAACTTAGGGCCATGACAGTAAAAACAGTCTTAAAAACAACTATAAAAGCGCCGCAGGCAAAAAAATTTTTGAGGAAAAAAAATCATAAGGGTCCCCCTTATGAATTTTTTCGGCCTTCGGCCGATTTTGGGGCAACTGCCTAGTTGCCCCCTTCCTACGGGCCTGGTGTCGTATATCAGATTTTAAAAACATGCTGCCATTTGGCATTAAAATCAAGTTTTTGAAGGGGCAAGGAATTTATTATTATGAATTACGTTGATGGTAGCGTCTTGGCTCGCCATCCAGTCTACAGGGTGTCCCAAAAAAAATCCCCCCGCTAGCCAGCCGCAGACGTGTCCGATTTTTATTTAGGTATCTATCGAAAGCTCTTTGAAAGGCGAGTCCAGCAGCTCTTGCGGATTTGCGAAATGTCGGAATTTTTTGCTCGATTCTCGGCATTAAAAGGACCGACTTTTTTGTTCAAAACGCAATTTAGCCGGTTTAAGCGCTGTCCAAGCTGTGTTTTGGCAAACGGCTTTCAAAAAGCTGTCGTTGGGTTGCCAAGAAAGGTGTAAAAATTCTTATATTGCGATTTTTGTAAAAAACCCCCTGGTCAGAACAACATCAGAAAATCCGCCCATTTTGCAAAAACATTAGTAACTAATGGAAAAAATTCCAAATTATGAAAATCGAAGAGACGTGCTGGACTCGCCTTTCCGAGAGCTTTCAATAGATACTTAAATCGTAAAAATCCGACAGGTCTGCGGCCGGTTAGGGGGGGGGGGGGGGGGGGGTTTTGGGACACCCTGTAAAGTGGATGGTTGTGGAGTCCATGAATGGGCAGAGACCGGGCTAGGTATTGTCATGGAGCTCGGGCCCCGGCCAAGGCCTGCAAGGCCACGAATCGGCTTTCGATACTAGCCCAAGTCCAGATGCGTGTTTATTGGATCAATGCGAACCGTTTATTAAACATCTCACTTATTGCAGCAACTGTTTAAGACTTGACTGCAAGTGCAAACATCTAAATCGTGCGTTTTTCGTGGTTGGCGGCCGGCTTGGGATGGCACGGTGCCGTAGGCTAAAAATGTTCTTACACTTATAAGAAGCGTGTTTATCGAATCGTCCTGGAGGCGGCTCGTAGCATGGCTCATGCGATAGAGAATTGAATTCTGAACCAGATACGATGAAATCGAATTCTGCACTGGCGCGGGAGGCCACGCTTCTAAATGTCGTTTTCTGCATTTTTAATTTAAAAATCAGTGATCGCCAGTCTGCAAAAACAAACTATCGTAACGTGCTCAGAACTCAATTCTGTATCGAATGAGCCATCTCGAACGGTAGACCGATAAAGGTGGCGCTCCAGCATTCGTCAAGTAACCGACCTTGATTTTGCAGATGTACCCTCCAAACATATCTCCCTGATATGATGGTAGCCAAACGCTACCATGAGCGGCCTTGCAAGCATAGCTAATCTAAATGCAAAAAACTAGCCCAGTGGCAACCGTTTGCGTCGTACGATTCCAGTGCGAAAGCCTAGCCGGCAGTGCTGTCGCACTACCGGCTAGGCTTTACTTTACCCCCCACCCCCCTCGCCAGGTTTTGCGATGGTTTATCGAAACGCATCTTTAAAGGTACACCAAAGTTTTGTTGGTTTGATTACCGACCGGCAGGGGCGTACACGAATCCAATTTTTTTTTGGGGGGGGGAGGGGGGCCACGCGAAAATTTCTGTCGAACCCCCCCCACTGCACTAAAATAGTGAAAATTGCTAAAACCAGCATTGCAACATCATTTCCAGTTCCGGCCACTCTTCAAACTGGCCTTCCTATTCCCAGAAACGGGCGCGACCAGGCTCAACCAAGCTCTAGCTCCGTCCCTTTTCGAGTAGAATTTGGCTTGACACACACACCCGGACACACTGACGCCGCAATAAATCTATTATAACCGATATTTTCGGCTGTCATGCAGACCTTGGGCCTACATTTCGATTCTCTAACGAGCGACGTCAAAAAATAACCAAAATACGCCATAGCTATGTGCGCCCAGCACCGCGCCAACTTCACGATCATTGGCGATCCATCGGTCCACTGGGCTTCCATCGGTTCTCCTTCGGTTCCGTTGTAGCCGATCACGTATCGAGGGTCCTCACTCACGCACGCAGGAATCACGCAGGAATCCAAATAATTACCCCTCTGGAAGGCCAGACCGACCAGATCTGAAAATGAAAGGTGAGCAGGTTCCCACAACCCCATGCTTAAACCCAAAGTGGCAGGCCATCTCAGATTTTTGGGGTTTCCAGCTTCCGGTGGGCATAGACTTTCGTCGTGCCGGGCTCCGGTGTTCGCGCCGTCGCTCAATTTTTAGCAATGCTTTACCCATTTAGGAGTTCCCCGGGCACCCGCAAAGTAATTATACCACCAAAGACAAAATCGTTTTCCGCCTCGCTGTGAATCGACACAAGATTTACATTCATTCTTTGGCATCGCAACTCGGCGTCTTCCATCGTGATCGTCCCGATTAACGAGAAGTCCGACGGCTACAATGTTTCTGGCTATCCTACTATATATAAAAAATAGTGTCTGTGTGTGTGTCCGTGCCACTTTGCGGGCAACTTCCGTCAGCGTGTTCCAGCCGTATCTCAATAATGGGGTCAGTTAGGGGCATGTACTACACCTCATTATGTACGTAATGGCCCTGGGATCACTGCACAACAACAAAATTTTCAAAAATTATGTGTTTTCGACGTTAATTTTTTTGAAAAATCCAGGACCCTCTTTGTTAGGAAACAATCAGCATACGCCGGATGTTGCGGTAGCCTATAAAAGGGAAGAGAGGTAGCGTTTCTCAATTTTTGTCATCGAAAATTGCCAGAGTTATGCAAAGTGAAGAATATCATGGGATCAGACGGGGCCAGGGTTGAAAAGTCGCGAGGGCTTTTCAACCCTGGTTAGGAATATTTTTGGATGAGAAAGATCTCGATCGAGAGAAAATTTCGATGATTACCGGAGCGTAATAGCAAAAATCGGTGAATCGATTGTAGCTCCAACCAGCTGGGCATTCTGAAAACTTTGCAATGGTTTTTTAAAAGATAAGTACAAAAAAAATTTAAGCGAGAAAATTAGCAGTTGTGAATCTCCACGGAATTTCGGAGAGGCTGCACGTACCGAACAACGTGCGGCTTCGGAAAGTGCAGATGGATGGTATCTGCTCCATGCAATCCACCGGATACCATGATGAATCGCCCACCCCCGCTGCTGTAGACAGAACCATCCTTTCCGTCATCGGCAGTGCCTGCAAAAGCGGCGTCAGCGAAAAGGTTCTTGGCATCTGGCGAGCGCGGCGATTGGCATGTGGAAGCCCTGCAAAGCATCCGTTTTTTGCGCTCACATTTTTTGGCCTGGCCGCTCCGGACGCCTCACA